GAAGTTACTTTAATTGAGTTTTAATTTCAAGGTTGCTATAATTTTTCTCGAATAAAATTCCCTGACTTTTTCAGGTTTTCCAGGTCTCAAATAATATTTTTCCATACACATTATAAGTGTGATTTATATAAAAAGTAATTAATTAAAAAACAAAATTTATCAAAACATAGCAAAATTTTATTGTTGTATTGATCATTTATAGAAAAATAACTCAGATTTAAACATTTTTTCTTTGGCGAAAAGACAATATTTAAAAATTTTATCCTTTTTTGACAACACGTATATTATAGAGTAGAACGGGGTGAAAAAACCAAGAGGAAAAAAGCCATTTGGGTTTTATATTAAAACTATTGAACAGTTTTATCAGGCATTTAGAATATAAATTAAATTAGGTAATACGCAACTTTTGATTTTAGTTTAGCCATTGTATCTATAATATTACAGTTTTTATTGTAAAATTTAGTTTTGAGATCTTTTATATACAAAATTTTGGTTAACTTTCCTAACATATTACGACTCGTTCAAGTGTATGAAAAATAAAAGCAAACGTTTGTACATAAAGAGAAAACTATTCGTAACACGTGTGTGATGTAGATTTTTTAAATTGATTTAATTTTGAGATTTATTATAGCTTTTTGAAAAATGGCCCTGAGTATAAAAAAGCCAAATAAGAAAAGCCCCTCTCATTATTATGTAATATTTACACCGAAAAAAAATCCTCTTGTTTCAAGAGGATTCCTCTTATTTCAATGCATATTTTTCTCTAGTATATGCTGCAAAAGGATGTCCTTTAGGTTTAAGAGGATTGTCCTCTATGTAAAATTATTCCTCTTAATTTAAGAGGATACTCTTATTTTAAGAGGAAAATATCATCTTAAAAAGAATTCTGAAATAATAAAAATGCAATCATCTAATTTGTATGTCATAGATATAATCTATAAAATTAAAAGGAATAAAATTTGTTATTCCATGATTTACATCTATTTGATGAGTATAAATAAATTGAAATTGATTTTAATTTTTTTGAATAAATCAACTAAATCTATTTTTAATAATATTTTTATGCGCAAAACATATAATTCATTAAATTTGAAAATTTATTTTAAATAAATTCTCAAATAAAATTAAAATAAATAAAAATTGTAATAAAATAAATTTTTAAATAGCATAACCTCAAAATTATTTAAATTTTCTTAAAAATTACTTTTAAAAATTTCTTTTACCTTCAAAAATAGGCACGTATTGTGTAAGTTGCAACTCTATCAAGATATTTAAAAGATTATTATCCATTTTGGTTTATTCCCCTTTTTTCACACAGAAATTAAAACTTTTTCACCCATGATATGCGATTTATGACGCGACGTAAATGATATGACGCAATCATCTTTGCGCATGAGCGACTTTTTATGGGAAATCCTCTTAGAATTTAGAGGAATATTCTTAAATATAGAAGATTATTCTAAATTCTAAGAGTATTATTTTTATTCTAAAAAGATTATTCTGTATATAAGAGGAATGCTCTAGAATAGTCCTTTTGTTTCGATCCTCTTGAAATTAGAGGGAAATATTCTCATTTAAAGAGTAATACTCTTGTTTTAAGAATAAAATTCAAGAGGATTCTGTAAGAGGAATTTTCCTCTGAATACAAGAATATTTTTTTTCGGTGTTGTACAAATTTTTCATGGCGCACATTTTTTAATAATAATAACAATAAAATATTTGCATTTTCTACACTAATTAAAAACTTTTAATTTCAACTAAATTTTTAAAATAAAAAATTTTTATCTTATCTAATAAACTTTTATACCTCTTCTAAATGGTTTTTAGTTTTCTTAATAATTTGTTTTAAAGTTTTACTTTTTTTCATAATTTTTCTAACGTATAAAATCACAGAAAATTTACATTTTAATACAAATAAACAGTGAAGAGTATTAATGATTTTATTATAACTAACTAATGATACTAGATTTTATTTTATTATTTTAATAATAAATTGTTTATTTCATTATTTTTATTAACTATTTTAATAATAATTGTGACATTTCATTATTTTATTAATATCAAGCTTGACCAAAGAGCCATTTTCATTATTTCTAAAATTAAAAAATAATATTTATAAATAAAGGGTTTAAAAACATATGTATAAGATAAAAATAGTAAAAAATGTGTGCCATGAAAATTTGTACAAATTAAAAAATTTATGAAATAAAAACACATGTATAAACAGGGAAAAAAATGACGGACATATTAACCATAAAAATATTAATAATAAATATAATAAATAATTATTAATAATTAATTACTAACATATAATTATTAATAAATAGTTATCATTATTAATTGTTAAATAATAATATTAATAACATAAAAGTGCTATAAAGGTGACACGCACCTTTATAGCACTGTACTGTCTATTGGAGCGAATGTGTCACGCGGCGCGTATTCTTTAAAAATTGCATAACTTTTTTATTTTTTAATAAATTTTGTTGAAATTTTCCAGAAAACTTCCTTGAATACCGAGGAACAACTTTCTCACTGGAAGTTTGATCAATTCAAAACTTCAGCACAGACTTTTCCTCATCGAAAGTAAGAAAAATATATTATTGACAGGTCATTGTTTACAATAAAAAATAATTAAACAATAAATAATTTTTAAAGTTTTTATGATTTTTTCGGTTTTAGCAGACCCAAATGAACTTGTATAAAAAATTGCAAGTTAATTCATTAACATTTGACTTCAAAACAACGATTAATGTTTAAAAATTTAATTAAATTTGAAAAAAATATTTTTGGTTTTTTTAATTTTTAATTTAATTAATATTTGTTCTACAAAAAAAAGTATTAGGGAAAAAAGTTGCGCTTTTTTATTCCCTACAAGATAGTGTTTTCGAAATATTAACATTTTGAATTTTAATTTTTCACTATTTTTGATGCGTCGAAATACCATAAGGGCGATGTTTCGAACGCGAATCGAGTTATTTGATTGACCTCCTTATATGGCATCTATCGCCTCCATTTTGTAGTAAAATTTCAAGTAACAATTTTTTTTACACTTCAATATGTAATTAATAAGCCATCTAAAAAGAAATCCTGTTCCTTTTTTCATTTTCCCAAAATACATCGTCACAGATAGGTCTATTTTTTCTGCCTCTAGAGTGGTTTTACCCCTTAACTATTTATCAATTAGGTAAATTTTTTTTTCATGGTAAAATTAGATAAAATTCGCCAAAAATTAACATAATTTTAATAGAAAATTATTTTCCAGGTGTTTTTTGATTTTTCCCTGACTTTTCCATACAAAATAAAATCCCCTGACATTTACAGGTTTTCCAGGTTTCCAGACATTGTAGCAACCCTGTTTTTGAAAGATGAAAATTTTTGAAAAAAAGTGGACAATTTACAATTTTACACCTAGAAAGATAAAATTCAGTATTCAGGTGTATTTTTACGTTCAAAATACAATAAAAATATAGCGAGTATGAATAAAATCAAGTTTCATACATTTTTTCGAGAAATAAAATTTTTCATAAGATAAAATCGGATAAATGATCAATTTTTTAAATCTAAATTTACAACGCTCGCTCATAAAATTATTTAGATTTCTTGCAGTTTGATTTCTAGAACTGATAACCAAAACTATGTACATCTTGGGGCTCTCTGCCCTACATTTTTGTCCTCAAAAAATTTTTTTTAATTTAAGAGAAAATCTTTTTACAATGCTGAAGAACGCAACGTTTATGATAAACGATTTTTAAAAATAAGTTTTTGTCTGAAAAATATTTCCATTTGTCCCTGTCAGACCTACATTTAAAAAAAAATTAATGACAACAAACAGTCAAATAAATTAAGTACATTTAATAAAGATTTTTACTTCCCCATATATGATAAAAAAAATAATAACGCGGGACATACATATAGACACATACATACTTATTGACATTTGCTTAAGGGATCATCCACGTATTACGTGATACATATTTCAGATAAAACTTGGAATATATGATTATTATATGAAAATGAGTTGATGCAAAACAGTTTTTGGAAAATCTAAAATCGTCACAGCTTTCTCTATGAGAAAGCAAAAAGTAATCAAAGGAATTATTTTGTTCCTCAAGTTTTTTAAACATTTTAAATAAATTTTCGCTAACAATAAAACGCCATTGATAAACATTAATAGATATTAATATGTTGTCACCGTGGTATTTTACTATCGAACTTAAACTGAAATTTTTAAGTCTTTTGACTTAAAATAATATCTATTTTATTTAAACGAATAAACAGAAATGTGAAATAAAAGTTGTCATCTTTTAGAGTCGGTATCAAAAATGTATAAAATTTTAAAAAAATTTTAAATTGTACAAAACATAAATATTGTTATTTTTATATTCGATGTTTTTACTTTTGATATTTTATTTACTTATAATTTTTCTTTAATTGATTTTTTAAGTTGCAAAAAAAAATTTTTCTTTGTTATATTGAACATTGAACATTTTTTTACGTACTTATATTTTTGAATTTATTAGTTAAAAAACCAAAAATTTTAATGTTTAAAATAAGAAACAAAAAATTTGTTTCCAATGTAAAAAAAGGTATGAAAGAAAAATTATAAGTAATTGAAACAACAAAAGTAAACACATCGAATAGAAAAATAACATTTGTTTTTTGCAATCTAACATTCTTTTGAAAAATTGAACGTAGTTTTGAAACAGACTCATATTTTAGTAAGAAAAAATTAATTTAAAAGACGTTATTGCACAAAGTTCTCAATAGACAATTTCTGGAGCAGCTTTTGATATTGGACATGTGAATTTGAAAACTTTATAAAACTTGATACTTTAAAACCCTGCTTTTAATTTTTGACATTCGTTTCAAAACGAACTCAGGCAATTTCATATCTTCAAACAGAAAGAGACTAATTAGACAGGAAAAGTCAACAGACAGTAGAAAATATTTCTCAGAGTGACATAGAAAAGTGGAATTGAGTTTGAGGCCAAACTTACCCCATATACCCGGATCATCGAAACAACTGTGATGATTTGAAACTGTAATGAGAGGCACATTTTTTGGTCGAGAATCCAATGCCCTCTGAATAATGTGTTTGTTGTAAATAGTTGTTTTGTTGAACCATTCTTGAAAAGCACAAAATCCCCAGGGTAAAAGATGCACTTAGATGTTCGTAAAACATTTTGTAAGTATCGAGAGACAGCGAAGCCGAGAACCACTTACCTATAATGATTTTAGAAAAAATTCCTACAGCAGCAAAGGTTATAGTACTAGCCATGTTCCACAGTCCCGTTGGATTACGGAGCTTGGGAATAATCCAAGTGATGTTGTAGACCATGGTGAATCCACTGCTAAAAGGAAAAGAACGAGGTTTTAGCAGCCTCGTTTTTCTTTGCTCGAATAGCTTTATTTTCCGAGCAACTTCCCCTAAAACTGTCTGTTCTTTCGTAATACGGTACGGCCATGTTCGCATTGTTATGTTTGACATTGCTCACGTGACCACTTGTTTCTTCGCAGTGCTGCCAACCTTCGTATCAACAATTTCCCTCTAAAATGTAAACTGAATTCAAAATTTTCTTAATGTTTTAATTATTTTCATTTGGGTTATTTTGAGAGGCATGGTTTTTTTCACGTTAACATTCTGAAAAATATGTCAAATTGACTATCGAAATCTGAAAGTGTCCAGACAAAAAATTAAAAATTCTACGTAGACACCTGTGTACGCATATCCCAGTAAAAAAAAAGAATTGGAAGTAAGCGATTAGAATTGGTGGTAACTTAAGCTGAATTCGGTTTGGCGAAAAAACCGAATTGGAACGTTACGGTGAATTATTTTTTTCTTACCGTGAATTCTTTTTTCTTAAACATTTGAATTGACGTTTGTTTATTCGAGTTTGCATTATAAATGAATAAAATAAATGCTTCGAAGTCTAAAAAAGCCGATTTGGAATAAGAAATATATAATTTAAAAAAAATAAATGAAAGCGAAGTGTGACAGATTCACCGACGATTTTATCAAGTGAGTAGTGTTCATATGATAAATTTACCATATGAGTAGTACTCACATGGTAAAATTGTCGGTAAATCTATCACATTTCACTTTTATTTCTTTTTAAAAAATTATTAATTATATATCCCCTTTTAAAATAACTACTTTTTTTACTTATTTTAACTCTGTGTGTAATTAATTTTACTCTTTTTAATAAAATTAATAAAAATAATTTCTTTCTTCTTGACATTTTACTTTAAAATTAATTAAATCAATTACATAGTCTGAAACAACTACAAAATCTCATTCTACCAAATAGATTCTTGGGTCATTCAACTACCTTCTGGTAGTATAATTAATACAATTTTTAAATTTAATAGGAAAATTTTTGTATTACAGAGTGTAGTTAAAAAGTAATTAATGCTAATAGGTTTTGAATAGTAATAAACAAACAAAGTGCGTGATGAGAATGTGTCCGCCCCCGCAGGGGGCTGCCAGATTTTTTTTATTCTAAACTAAGAAAAATTAAAAAAACTAAGAAAAAACTTCCGCTTAATTCTTAGTGGAATCCTTAGTTTATTAATATGTATAATAATATACATACACATATTAATATGTATACGTTTGGAATGAGTATTTATGTGTGAACTATAAAAAGTTTGTTCGATGACATTTACTAATATGCTAATATTACTAATATCTTATAAAATTCATTTCTTCTTCTTCACATGAAATTGAAATGAAAAGCACTGACGAAATAGACGGCAACAGAATACAACGGAATTGTCATATTTGTGAATGACCCTTCAAGAAATCCACTTTCCACAAGTGGCACGGAGTCTGTCCAACAAGTGGCACGAACTAACGAACTTGCCACAAGTTGGACGGACTTCGTGCCACTTGTGGTACGAAACACCGCCACTTGCGTTCGAGACGCTCGTGAACCGTACAGGCTTCCGTATATACATGTGAATATGACCACAGCTCATAGCCACATCGATGCCCTCTATGCATAGTGGCATTCGGCAAACAGTGTGAGTATGTCTTCAAGTTCAAGTTGGTTCTGCAATAAGCGCGTCGGACGTGGACGCGAACGTATACCTAACATCGGTGACGTCCCCCCCGTGACGTCAGAAGAGGAGTGCATTGAGTGGATGGCGCAGTGGGGAGACGCAACGACTCTGCGACTTCGCATACATGTGGAATTGCTGTAATATGAATAATACTTAGAATATAGGTTATGTTATTATGCACGTGGTCCGGTGTTCACTCTTATCTGTGAAACCAACTTAGAAATAAAACCGATATAAAAACATTTCAATAATTAAAAATTTTATTTTATAATTGTTAAAATAATTAATAATTACCTAAATTTTCTTCATATTAACAACTTTCTCTTTCAATAGTGTAAAGTAATGAATGATGTATTTTAATGAAGAATTTAAAATTGCCGCTCTTAAATCACGTGATCAAATGTAATATACATCGTGTAGAAAACTTGGCACGTAATATACGTAGTATTATACACGTAGAAAACCACGTATTATACGTCATGTATTATACGTACCCATCACTGGCCATTTGACAGAAATTTTATTGGACAGAATATTTACATGGCAGACAATTCATATAACAGACTTTTCTAATTCTTTTGTTAAGTAACTTCTCTTAAGAGTTACATTTTTCTTTTATTTGTAATGAAATCTCGCATTATTCGTAAATTTTATAAATTTAAAAGAATCTCATTTTTAAGTAAGATGTACATGCGTCTTTTTTTTATTTACAAAACGAAATATATCATGTACTATATATAATAAAAAAATTTTATAAATTGGCTGAAATTCATAAAAAATACTTTAGTAATTCAGACAGACATTAATTTTTGTAAAAAATTTGTACATAAATTTATGTGTCAGTGGTTGTTGAAAATAAAAAATTTGTTAGTTACATTCAATATTATATTAAGTATTAAAAAACATGTTTCAAAATAATTTGGACTGATCCTTCTTCATAAAACTTTGTTTATTTGGAAGCGTTGTTTATCATGCTTATCAAATTCTAAAGCTGTCAAAAAGCAATTTCTTGGCGGGATGACTTTACTTAGAAATAAAAAAACCCCGCACGAAATTACACAGGATTATTAACATCCTATTAAATAATTGCTTCTCTCGGAGCATTATATATTATTGTAAATAATATAAGATAAACATGTGAAAAGGAAGGACAATTATTATGTAAAATCTCACGTGCATACATACTACATAACCTTATATTAAAATAAATCGATTATTTATTTATATTTATTATTACATAGATAACAAAGAAAAACACCAATCCACCTCAAAAAACGATATTTTCTACTCAAAATAAAAGCAAAAACTTTATTTAATTGCGGACATCATAAAATCTTACATAAAATTTAAGAATTGAAATATCAACTTATTTACTTTTATCTATAAATATAACTAAAAAGACAATGTTACACGATTTTGGACAAAGTGTCGAATCTACGAACGACTGAACATTCGAACCACCTCGCAGTTTTTCACGTCAAAAACATGGAAACAGCGAAATCAAAAACGGTTCTTTAGTTTTCGAAGCTAAAATGGCATAGGGCGGTATTCATAGTTCCGACTTAAGCAAGGACTTAAGAGTTGCTTGATTAAGACGGTCTTATTCGAATGAGTCGAGCTTAAGACCATATATATTCATAGTCAAAAATAAGCAATTGCTTGGTAAAGGAAATGCAGCTTAAGAATTTCTTGACCAAGCAAATGCTTAAGATGATCTTATTGAACGATCGGCTTTTTCCGTCAGTATTCTCTTGAATCCACCAATAAGAAATGGTTTTGAAAATTCGCCTTAATGCGCCAAGGAATATTTATACTTGCGTTGTATTCAATTTGAGTTTTTCGTTTCAGCGTTTTTAATGTTATTTATAAAATTTTTTTGTTTAATCATTTGAAAAAAGTAAATTTGTAAAATATTTTTCTTATTAAATGTTTGTAATAAAAAACAGTAATAAAACAAAATTCAAAAATATGAACCTGTGAATATATTTAATGTTGTTTAAAAGTAAAAATTTTTAATAATCAACGAATGAAATATATTTAAAATTTGATAAATAATGATACATAATAGTGAAATATTCAAAATAATGATTAATATATTAACATTAATATTTTTAAAATTAGGCGTACAATTTGTATAACACAATTTATTTTTTCTTTTTCAAATTAAAAAGACTGGTAATTTTTTTTATATCTTATCTTATATACTCTCGTTTTTAAAAAAGTGCTGTACGCTAAAAAATTTTAATTGTTTATAAACATAAAATAACTACTTTCATACATAAATTCTTTTTTCTTGTAGAAATAAATGTATCCAGATATATAAATCTGCTACTCTCACTCCCTTAAATTATATATTAAAATAAAAACATAATGGAATATAACATTTGTAAACAATAAATAATTAAATTATTATAAATAATACTAAATTTTAATACTAATTAATGAAACTTTTTGTAGTAATAAAATGTCTAAAAAGCATTACACCAATACGGAAAGAAAACTTTTCCTGCAAACTATCAAAAGGTTTTCCCATGTTATTGAAAATCGCAAAAGCGATTGTTCCTTGAAAGCTAAGGAGGCTGTGTGGAGTGAAAACGATAACGTCTCTGAAACTCTCACTCATCTATTTCAAAAGGATTTTCCGCATCTCGAATGTATCGTTTTGCACGTCTTATATTGTTTGGACCATCTTCATTATCAATATCATCCTCAATGTCTCTTAAATAATGCATTATATCCATTAACACTTTTTTCACTATAAATACACTAATAAGTTATTGCTTAAGTCAACTAAAACGTTGACTTTAAATCATAACCTCAATTCGTTCAAATAAGTTCACCGGTAATGTCAAATAAGAAAATCCTATTTGACTATGAATACTTGGCATTCTTAAGATGGGACTGTGCATCTCAAAATCAAAGCATTTACTTCTTTAAGCAAATGCTTAAGTTGCGACTTAAGTCAATCCACAATGCACGACTATGAATCTAGGTGTCAGCTTAAGTCGCTGCTTAAGAAATGAGTATCGACACTATCGACTATGAATACCGCCCATACTGGCTTTGTGGTGGCGCGTAGAAGCTTCCGTATTCCCACCTACTCTGTGCACTCCTCTCCGTGACGTCAGAAGGGAAAAGCATTAAGGCCTTTCTCCAATAGGATCCTAAACTCTTGCGTTGCGTATGCATTGCGTCGGTTGCTATTGGCAACCAATGCTAAAATCAACGCGTCAGTCACGCAACGCAAAAGTTTAGGTTCCTATTGAAGAAAGGCCTTTAACAATGGGCTTGACGCAAGGTAAACGCAGCGTTGACGCGACGCATCCCAATGCTAATCAAAGGTCCATTCCACAATAGCTAAACGCAAAGTTAAAGCGCACGCAAAGATGACGCGCGCGTTGGTTTGGTTGGTTAGAACCAACGCGCGCGTCATCTTTGCGTGCGCTTTAACTTTGCGTTTAGCTATTGTGGAATGGACCAAATAGGGATGCGTAGCGTCAACGCTGCGTTTACCTTGCGTCGAGCCCATTGTGGAACCAACCTTAAGCACTACTTCGTAAACGGTAAAAGACAGCGATTTAGTCGAGTTTTGGACGCAAGGTGTTATAAAAAAATTAGTTTGAATAATAATTTTCATTAAGAAAAGTTTTGTTAAATATAAATTCTATTGTATTCTCTTTATTTACCTTATCTGTGAAAATTTATTTATGATTATTATTTTAAATAGTAAAATATTCAATTTAATGTATATAATTTCGATTTTTTATAATAAAATTATCTTTAACGATTGTCAGTAACTTTTTTAAGAATATTTGCTTGTTTACTTTGGATTCAATGTATCATACCGCGCAAACTTTTAAGATGACCGTCGTTCGTACAGAGTGTTCATTGCGTGAGATGTTTTAGCTGCGCGTGGCAAGACCTTGTTAGTCATTGTATCTTGGATACTCCCGAAAACACCCGTAGTGATTCAGTTCAGTATTTCAGTATTTGAAATGGCAGGAGAACACAGGAGAAGGAGAAATGGTTGAAAAATTATTCTTGGAACAACAATACAACTACGTCTGTCCAGAGGTGAAACAATAACTGTATGCGGGTCGATGTTGAGAAAAACACCATGAGAATCTCGCAGACTTTCAGTGTGAAATATCTCCGGTTACTGGGAAAGCAGAATCAATAAATCATTGGGAAAAAGTGGAGAAAATCTTTGTTGCGTTCTGAAAAAATTTTCCACTGTAGAAGGAATAAAACTCATCTTTGGAACTGAAGGTGTATTAATGATACTGACAGTCTTGTAGGTCACTGACTCAAAAGGACCCTTTCTTCGTTTCTCTAAATGGATTAAATGGCATTAATGAGAAATCTGAAAATGTTGAAAAGAGGTTCTGTTCAGTAATCTGTTTCAGAAAGTAAATGACATTTGCAGGGCAAGGCGTGTTCAAGTTGTGGTCGTCAAAAGCACGTTGCAGGGAACGACAAGTGTCAATGAGACAGATGGTTGGACACGTGTGACCGCATTTTTCTCAAGTTCATAATGCGTTGCAAACCCAAAGAGCCTATTTGCGTAAGTACGTATTTTAGTGTCATCATTTTTAGAAAGCACCTCACGTTTGCGTGCCGACGTGACGAGTTTTACTCATCTAACGTCAATTCCAAAAGAATATTCCTTCACGAACTAAATCAAATCCTTTTCTGATAATGCAAATATTTGCTAAGCACCAATCAACTTTCAATTGTTATTGTTACGATTCTTGACCAGTCAGGAAGTACTTTTAGCCAACTTAATTGCTTTTCCATAGTTTCATAATTTTTAATGCAACAATAGACTTGTGATTAAACGCAATGTAAAATATGAGAATAATTAGAAATACATATTGGAAAATACCCATTTACTTTTATGTTAAATTCTAATAATTTTTGTATGATGATGTGCTTTCAAATATTTGTTTTTTTATTGTTCTCAATTAGTTTTGAACAATATGTTTCTCCTTTTCAAAGGATATTTTACAATTATATTTATGTACGCTATTTAACATAACATCATTAAAATTACAAGAAGATTTCACATAGGATATGATTATTTTGTGTTTAAAAGTTTGAAGAATATTCATTTGAGCACCTGGAAATAAGAACTCGCCAAGCGCTCGGCTGCACGCTACAAAGCCAGTCAAACATACAAAAATGATGAAAAAATAAAATTCGAAATTTTTGATTTTTGAAAAATGCTATCTTGTAGGAAATGAAAAGGCGCATCTTTTTTTCCTCTGGATTTTTCTCGTCAAATGAATAGTTTAATTTATAAATGTAAAAAACTAATAAATTTTTATTTCCAAATTTCATTCAATTTTTAAACATAAATCATCGTATCTTCGACAAATATTAATCAAATCCAATGAGATTTTGCATACTTCCGAGTTTGGGTCCATAGATGACGATAGTCTAAAAAAAATGTTGAATTTTTTTCAATTGTTGACCAATTTTTAATTATAAACAAATACCTGTCGGTAATCATACTCAGTTATCTTCGCCGACAAAAAGTCTGTGGGGAAGTTCATAGTTGAAAGAACTTCCAGTGAGACATTTGTGTATTAGGATATAATGAAGTTTTCTGTAAAGTTTCAAATAGATTAATTCAATAGTTTAAAAAATATTGAATTTTTAAGATTGCGCGTGTGGCGCGCCAACGAGTAGGCAAGTGGATAGAATCGCTGAGCAGTTCATTACATGAAAAATGACCACTTTCTCACATCTTTTTTCTCTTAATTTCATTATTATTATATATAAATTGTTTTAAATTGACTTTATAAATAATATTTTTTTTAGTATTTATCATGTATATATATATATATATATATATATATATATATATATTTATTTGTTTATATTTAAAAATACAATTCAATAATAAAAATTAGAATGTCTTATAAGTATTCAAAATGTACATATAATTAATACAAAATATTAATAACTATAAGTAGTCAAAATTTTTAACAATATAGTTAATTAGACATTAGATGTAATTTTTTTAACAAAATTTTTTTTACATTTTTCAAACAATTACAAACTATCAACAATAACTTGTAAATAGAAAATTTTAAATAGACAATATAAATTATGAATTCAACTGATAAAATGAAAATTAAAAAATGTACTTAAAAAAATTATTTAAAGAATTAGCTAATTGCAAAATTTTACACATAACTCATTATTTAAATAATATCTTAATAATTTTTGCAAAAATTTTCATATAATTTTGAAAATATTATTTTATTCGTATGTTTTTAACACATTAACATAAAATAAATTTAACCCAGTAGCAATAAATTCAATTGTTTAACTTAATTTAAAACAATTTATATATAATGATAATGAAATTAAGAGAAAAAAGATGTGAGAAAGTGGTCATTTTTCATGTAATGAACTGCTCAGCGATTCTATCCACTTGCTTACTCGTTGGCGCGCCACACGCGCAATCTTAAAAATTCAATATTTTTTAAACTATTGAATTAATCTATTTGAAATTTTACAGAAAACTTCATTATATCCTAATACACAAATGTCTCACTGGAAGTTCTTTCAACTATGAACTTCCCCACAGACTTTTTGTCGGCGAAGATAACTGAGTATGATTACCGACAGGTAATTGTTTATAATTAAAAAGTGGTCAAAAATTGAAAAAAATTCAACATTTTTTTTAGACTATCGTCATCTATGGGCCCAAACTCGGAAGTATGCAAAATCTCATTGGATTTGATTAATATTTGTCGAAGATACGATGATTTATGTTTAAAAATTGAATGAAATTTGGAAATAAAAATTTATTAGTTTTTTACATTTATAAATTAAACTATTCATTTGACGAGAAAAATCCAGAGGAAAAAAAGATGCGCCTTTTCATTTCCTACAAGATAGCATTTTTCAAAAATCAAAAATTTCGAATTTTATTTTTTCATCATTTTTGTATGTTTGACTGGCTTTGTAGCGTGCAGCCGAGCGCTTGGCGAGTTCTTATTTCCAGGTGCTCATTTATACCTGATTTAAACTCTAATATAACCTTGAAATATTATTTATTTATTAATTTTACTTTTTCAGATTTTTAAACATACAAAGTAATCATATCCTTTGTGAAATGTTATAATTTTAATGGTGCTATGTTAAAAAGGATAAATAAACATTTTCATTGTAATAACCTTTAAAAAGGAGCATCATACTATTTGAAACTAATTAGAAATTATGAAAAAGTAATAAATATTTGAAACCACATAACCGTACGTATTAGACCTTTTCATGTGAAAATTATTCATCGAATATGTGTTACTAATTTTTCCCAAAAATTAATTTTCTTTTGTTTGACGATTATCATTGTATTTATCATAAAATAAACGATCTGTATCGTATATGATAGAGTATCATGTACATCAAATTACATAAGTAATTTCTCATATTTGAAAATATTATTATATTTGGAAATCTTAACAATTTATTATATTATTTATTTAAAATTATTATTGAGAGTTCAGAAATTTGTGACTGAAATGAAGATAATTTTAATTATCCACCTCGAAATTCGCATTTTTAATTAATCAAGAACACACGAGACCAATTCTAAATTGTATACTTTTCTATTATTTGAATGTTATTAAAATGCTTATTATTTAAAATTGACCCTACATTATATATTTTAAGGTGGACTAGATTAAATTAGGAGACATGCCTCATGGCTGGAGGCAACGACCACATCAAACAAGGTGCAAGTTTCGTCAAAACAAATGTATTGCAGCAATATTATCGTTATCGCGATCCTTGTTCTATATTTGTATCTCCTGCGAGTGAAGGCTTTCGGCGACGCCATCGGAAGGAGAGTAATCGCCTCACGTTACGAGGTATTGATACATTGCAAGAAGATATTTTCCGGTAAGTGATTTTTTCACCTCAAAAAGAATTGTTAATGAAAAATAACTTGGAAATAGACCATATAGAATACTTTTAATTAAAATTATTATTTCTCTTATAAAATTGCAAAATTTAAGGGGTCTTATAAATTTTAAAAATATTAAATTAAAGGGTTTTCAAATTTTTTTTCTCAAAAGTTTTAAAATATAATAAGTGAAATTTTTTAACATGTTTTTATGTATATCTAGGACAATAACAAAATTTAGTTATGATCTTCAAAAATATATTTTCCTTTTACAGGGCGCACTTAAAAATTATATTTAAATTTGGCTGCCAACATAACTCGAAAACCGATTGACCGATTTCAAAAATTCTTGTTGAATTCTCTTTTGTGGAATTTTTTTTTAATTACAAATTTTATATATTTCTTGTTTTAAGTAATTAGAGGTTTAAACGCTAATAAAAATCCCATAGAAGAGAATGCAGCAATTTTGAAGTGTGGATAAAACGCTCTATATAGAAGGAAAATATTAATATTTTTTAAAATCATAACTTTTTTTTATTGTCCTAGATATTGATAAAAACATGTTAATAAATTTAACTTATTATATTTTGAAACTTTTGAGAAAAAAAATATTTAAAAACCTTCAATTTACGGTTTAAAAATTTACAAGTCACCTTAAAATGATTGTGTATCAATTTAATTCTTACATCAGTTTTATTTGATTTTAACAGATTTTTCGTTTATGAAATATGTATTTAAATTTTCTTGACTTTTATTATAGAATATTTTCGGAGACTCTTCATTGCGATCTTAATATACTAATCGGACATGAAGTGATTTGTACAAATGAATGCATTATTAAAACCAGATCACCGTTCTTTTATAAAATCATTGAACCGTTCTTTGACCACAGTGAGGAAACAATTACTTGTTGTCTCAATACACCTGGAATACTTGAAGAAATCAAACAATTTGTGAGGTACATGAACGTATAAACTGAAAATAAGAAATAACTAATTAAATTAAATTTTTGTTCTGGTTAATAAAAAAATGTTAAATTAGGCTACAGTCAAGTCTCGTAATTGCATGATTGATTGCACAACAAGTCAGAATCAGTGATCAGGTTATTAAAAGTTATTTATTTAATTTTTTTTGTAATAATTTTAATTTATTTTATTTTTTTATTACTATTTCATTTTATTTACACTACCGTCGGAAATTGTCGGTACGGCTTACGTGCGAGGAGTAGAAATTTGGTGCTGACTTTAAAGCAAGATATTTTAAGTTAGAAAAAAGATAGAGACTTCTAACTTAGATGGTTGGAAAGCTGATAAAATTCTACTTCTTAATGTATATCAAGAAAATTTTTTTCTTTTTTTTTGTATTTATTACACCGAAAAGATTTCAAGAAAAAATTATGCAATTTTCTACATTCATACTAATGTAATTTGACTCCCGGCATAATCTAGAATAATGCATGGAAAAATTTGACAATTTTGCAACATAATATTTAAGGTTTTAGCTTTAATTTGCATTTTTGAAACTTAAAGAATGTTTTGGTGGTTCCTGAAATATGTTAAAAAAGGTCCGAGCATGTTTTCCTACAACTAAGCCGTCAATCATCACTTTTCGTCGCCTCGCTGCTGGGTTGCAGAAAAACATTCTCGAACATTTTTAACATATTTCAGGAACTACAAAACATTTTTGAAGTTTCAAAAAAGCAAATTAAAGCTAAGGACTTAAAGAATGGGTTAAAATTTGGCTAACTCCAGCAGCAGAAAACAAAATATTTCCCCTGTAACAGGGTTGCCAGAGTTTCAACGCGCCGAACCGCGGATAGACGGCACTGACGTAGCCCAAAAACCGCGGGAAGCTTCAAAGATTTACAAATTTATAAAAAATTTGTAAATAATTTTTTTTTAATAACAATTTTATATATATATATACGAAAAAATAGATGTAAGACTAATTTAAAAGTTACTTTTTTTTATTTCTTTTTATTATTATGCTAATAAAATTTTTATTTTTATATATTAAATAACTTTAATATACAGGTATTGCAGGTATTAAAATTTTTCAATAAAAACTGAAACAACATTTTAACATGAACAGGAACGTAAATTTAGAAAAACGTAGCACTGGCAACCGATGAACACTTTTCGAAATGATTTTCAAACAAATCCACTACAAGGCGCCAATTGACAGTTTTCATACTTTTAATGATTTACTATTCGATTTTCTAGTATTGTTAAAAAAAATGTCCTAGTAGCCCAAAAAAGCAATTTTATAAGAAAAAATAGCCCAAATTGCTACTTGTAGCGAAACTGAAATTTAAGCCGCGAAACATTCCCAAAAAATAGCCCAAATCACGCTTTGTAGCCCAATCTGGCAACCCTGCCCTGTTTCCATGACATTTACACAATTACCTGTGAGGGGCGTCACTGTGACGAGAGGACCCCGAACTCATTACTCTTGCAAAAAACCCGACACACTTTTTCTTTCCAAGATCCATCTCCTTATTACTACTCCGTGGTGACGCCATAGCACCAGTTACTATAAGCTGATTATTCCGTGAACAAGACAAAATCAAAAAAGATGACAAAGATGACCATGAGTAAAACAATACTTCTTTCTCTTCCTATTTTAAAAATCTTTTTTTTGTTTTTGAGATATTTCTATCGGCACAACCACGAAGTAGTATAAAGAGACATATCACCTATGGCCGGCTCTAACGCAATGTAGCCCTGTTTTCGGTATTCACAGTTCTCAAGTTTTCACCAATCTAATTACACTTGCGCCTCTAGAGGGAAACCTCGGTATCAAAATCACGTGTTTACAGAATACAGAGTTTAATAACACAATTTCCCGCGGTTGGCGCAAGTGTAATTAGATTGGTGAAAACGAGGCCATCTTTTATATACAGGGATATGTCTCCTTATACAATTTGTGGGCACATCAGCCCTGATCTCCCCTAACTGTAAACATTTTGGGGAAGCCTTTTTATGCCCATGGGAATGATAATGCGGGGTATGGTGTTTTCTCACCTTTGTCATCATTTGTCTAAGAAAACTTATGATTTTTACGCATTTTGGCATTTAAATTTTTTATTCAGAAGATTTTCAATTTAAATATACTTCAGTGTCAGCCAATTTAATCTGGCCCAAAATTCAATGCTTTGTGTACACATGAGTTTTAAAATTATAAAAAATTGTTCTGAAAGAGATTTATTTCTCTCATTTTCCTTGATATTTTAAAAAAAGGTAGACCTCAATCCGATTATTAGAACAGAATATATAGCAGTTCAAAATTTTTTGTTATTATTGCAAATCTCGTAAACTAACAAATATTTTAAGCTACAATTTACGTTAAAGATTAGTCTTACTATAAATAAAAAAATTCCAAAGTTTTATTGTAATCGGTTAACCTACTCCGAAAAAGTGAAAATCTCATCTGGTATCGCACTGTTTGCAAAAATTGAGCACATTTAAAACGTGTGAAGAGTAAAAAAAAGGTCAGATATATGTGTGTTATTTGTGATTTCAATAAGTCGCATTCCGAATAACTATTCATGTCTTAAAAATTGTTCATTTATCCGAAAGTAGAGTTTTTTACATTTGATTAACGATACAAATAGTTATTATAAAAAATATTTTAAAAAACTAACCAATTATGTAATTGTAGAATTTAAGTCAGAAATGTTTATTTATTTACAAAAATCTATTAATGTTACGATTGTTGGAAACAAACTTTGAATGTTCATAATAAAAATACTTATTACGAAAACTATATTTAAAGTGACTGACTAACTATGCAATTATAGAATATAAGTCGGAAAATGTTTATTTGTACCTACTAAAAGTGGTACTATAACAATAGATAGACTATAAATTAAAACAAAAAGTTATCATTTGACTAGCATTTTCTGTTTTTCTCCGTTTTTTCAAAATCGGCACTTACAGCCCCGGTCTCCCTTACTTGTAGCAATTTTTTTTTTTTTTATTTCAAAGGTAGATTAGATAGATAAAGAATAGAATATTAGATATTAAAAAAGAATATTATGTAACTTGGTAGGAAAATAATATTCCTTGTGGGATAGCGTCATTTCAATTATAGGTTATATTATAACTAAAAATTCAGAAAATTTCTTAGAAACATTAACGAGAGAATTAGTTTTAAGCTGTGGGCACCAGGTACACGGAAAGAAAATCCTAAGCAATAAATGTTAAAAATGATACAAAAATTTAGTATATTCTTTAGCAAGTCATGGAAACTAAGGCTATTTATTAAAAATTAATATATTTTTAGCAAAAGCTTTGTGGAAACAGTTTTAACAGAAACTAAAATTACTATTCTAAAATTCATAAGAAAGTTTTCTTATTTTTACTAAAACTGTCTGAAAAAGGTAAGCGGAATTAAAAAGCGCGCATTTCGCTAGCTAAAACTATCCTAAAAATTCAAAACGACGTTAAAATAAAAGAATAGTATATTGCTTAACATGGGGAAGACAGACCCATTTACGGAGAGGGCGAATGTTTTTAGCACGAGTCGAGCACTGAGATGAACAAAGCCGTAGCCCAAGCGCCGAAGGCGCGAGGGTGAAGGCTGAGTGATTCGAAGTGCTCGTCAAGTGCTAAAAATTCAGTCCTCTCCGTAAGTCGGTCTGTCTTCCCCATGTCATGCAACATATTTTTTATCACGAATGCACGATTTCGACAGTTTTGTGCCCCGTCCAGCGAGTTTAAACTTCAGGTTTTTGAGTCGGTGCCAATGAAATCCCGATTAGTATATCTAGCAGACATGCAGGTACTGTCTCACAGAAAACATTGACCTGCGTGCGCCGGTATGGAGCATGCGCACAGCAACAACGAAAGACTGAAAAGTGTGTGTAAATGATTTGTTTCATGTGTGTGACGTCACGTTTTTACTCCCTAGAGTAGGGTTGTGAGTCGTGAAACGTTTCATTGAAAGATTGAAACTTTCATTTGAAAGTTTCAATCCTTCATGGACGAAAATTTCATTAGTTTCATGAAACATTGGAGAACCAATAGTAAGCCTTCATGTGCACATGCGCAATAACGTAATAAATATTTTAGGTTAGGTCAAAAAATAAACTTGTGAAAAGTTAACTATAATAATAAAATGTTTTACATTTTATTATTATATCATAATTTTGCCTATGTTTCGAACTGAAACCAGTTCATCTTCAGGGCTAAAAATTTAAACAAAATATCACATTAAATAATTTTTCAATTAAAACAATTTAAATATAATAAATATCTGTTTTAATTTTCGAGTAATTGTTTGTATGCTATTTTTATGTATTATGATTATCGAGAGAGATATTTATTATATTTATTTAAACTGTTTTGATTGAAAAATTATTTAATGTCGTATTTTGTATGAAATGTTTATAGCTTTGAAAATGAACAGATTCCAGTTCGAAACGGAGACAAAATTCTAATATAGTAATAAATCAAATATGACCAAAAAATCCGTTTTAAAACATTATTTCCAGTCGTTAAATTAATTAATATTATTATTAATAAGGATTTATTATATATAATTTAAATATTCCCGCCTCTTTCTTTGAAACTTTGAAACGTTTCATGAAGCATTGAAACTTTCATGAAACTTTCATTCAACGAAAATTTCATGAAACTTTACAACCCTACCCTAGAGAGTAAATTTTTAATTTAAACGCACCCGCGCACCCCGCTCGAAAAGCTGGAGTTTAAGTTCGCTCGGTGGGGCGTAAAACTGACTAAATCGTGCATGTGTGATGAAAAATAATTTTTCATTATCTGCTACCTGTCGAAGGATTGGGTCATCGTTGTTAATTGTTCTCTATTGTAGTAGAGGATGTAGGTATGGTTTATATATGTCGTAGGCAAATAGAAGAATTCGCCATTTAACGTGCGTAAATGACGCAAAATAGACGAATGTAGAAATTGTAAACAAATGATCAAAACAAAATAAATTTATTTCCTTAAATTACGTTACAAAACCAAATTTTATTTAGTATAATCATACTTCCCGTACCCTTTAAATGAAAATTGTAGTTGACGCGAATTTTTATTTAAATTTCGATTTTTTTACCAAAAATGAGTGTAAATTTTAAGGAAATAAATTTATTTTGTTTTGATCATTTGTTTACAATTTCTACAAATTAAATGTACATACCTGACGTTTGTTTCAGAAATTAAATTTATTTTGTGTCCAGCTCCTGTTTATAATTTCTATATGTTAACCATTTTCTTCTATTTTCCGACACAGCTTCAGGCAAATAGCCAAATGACTAGTCACTTGGCTAAATGACTAATCTATTCAGGCAAGTAGACGAATTTAATCATTTTCCAAGTCCATTCGTCTATTTTGCGTCATTTACCTAAACGCCTAGGCATTTAGTTAAATGGCGAATTCTTCTATTTGCCTACGACAGATACACAACTACACGCACGCACGTTTCGCTTTAATTTTCTTAACATATATCCCTACCTAACTTATCGAAAATACGCATATACATAAACGCAGAATATCGCAACGCGCACACTTATATTATATACATGTTTCACGAAGGAAGAAAATTTCCTTATATACTAAGAAGATAGATTTTAATGCACTTGTGAGGAATGCTTTATTTATTAGTTTAAATTTTATGCGCTATTATTTTTTAATATTCATAAGAAAACAATAACTAACTTAAACTAACGTTTAAGAGGTCATTTTTTAAAGTAACAATGATTATGAATTTCTTATGATTTCTTATAAAATTCTTGATAATCTAAAAAACCAGTACTCCTAATTTAATTAGTTAGTGAATTGAGTAAATATTTAAAACTTTATTAGCAAATTTTGAGAAATGTTTTTACTATTAAAAGTTAATTACTACTCGTTATGTGAACTTTTAAGTTGCTCGGTTATAAGATCCACATTCAATTCAGTTTAATCTTAATATTGATTAAAGAAATACGATATATATTTTACATAATTTCGAAAAACAAATCATTTTAATAAATATAATTGAAATAGAATTAATGGAAAAAATAGCAAAATACAGGAGTAATCATCGTGACTTTTCGTTAGCAATCGGTAAAATTCGTTCAGACTCGTTCGGGGTTGCCTTCGGTCCCTCTTCCCCAACCTTCTTTTCTGAAATTTTCGTATCGGCTATACCAAAATATGAAAATATTGAAGCAATTAACGTAATCATTTTATAATGATATTTCTAAAATTCTTAATAAAAATTGTCATTTGAGTTTCCTATAATAAAATTTTAATTTTTCAAATGACTATACTAATTTTTATTTTCTAACTATATCATATAATATTATTTTTATTTTAGGCTAATAATAATTAATGAAATCCGTTAGTTTCCATGACATGCTACCAACTGTAGTAAAAATTGATTTCAAAATATTAAATATTATTACAATTTTTCTTTCCGTGTATGGCAAAACCTAAACTTCCAAACGGGAAATTAACCACTGTTGCAATATTACACGACCCAGTTGAAAATCCCTTTACAATATCCTATACAAAGTAAAGGATCTTTTACAAATGTTAGTTTATGTGTAAGTTCTTGTACAAAGTCTGTACAGGAATTTTCAACTGGGAAAACATCATAAAATCATTGTTTTTTGCGTTTAAGTCGTCAAATACGCAAAATCAGTTAAACTTTATTGTATATATTTAATTTAAAATAATATTATTTTAAATGTACAAATATATCTATATTAAATTAAATATATGTGACGCTCCACAGTGAAAGGTATCTATCTCCTCAAATACTTTAGGTCAGATGGCCAAATAATAGTCCTAAATGAGCCTAATATATTTGGGGATAGGTACTTTTAAGTAGATAGGTACCTAATATATAAATACCTTTCACTGCGGAACGTCACATATATTAAATAATAATTAAAATATAAATACATTAATAAATTAATATAAATCGATTTTTTAAAGATTTCTTTCGCATAAGTTTGTTTATTTTGCTTTGGAAAATTGAATCTATTCGTTTTTAGCGAAATTTGTATGATGAAATTTTAAAAATGAAAAAAAAATATAAAAAATAAATTTTTACATTCGGGAATATAAATAAAGTTCTGATAACAGAAGAACGTATAAAATATTTTAGGGTTCGAATAATTGAGATTCCACTGTACATTCCGACAAATAAAAAAATTATTCAGTAGAATTCGTGGCATTTGAAAATTCACCTATAAAATATTTTTTTACTTACAAATCGATTTTATTTAAGTTTGCATTTTTTAAAGATTTGTTAAATAAAAGTTATGATACATATAAATTCTGATTTGAAATACTGTGGCATTCTTATTATCATAAAATATCTTGCTTTTACGAGACAACTCAGGTAGCCCCATTTTTTTCCGGTTACCCGTTTTAAGTTCGAAAGTTAACTCGGTTAATTTCCATTTAAGTTTCCAGTAAGAACAAGTTGATTGAATGAAATTAAAATTGTTTCAAATATTGTTCAATTCTTAACAATTTGAATCAAAACTAATGACATTTTTAAACTTTCATGTTTTAATTTCTTAAGAAGTAATTCATCTGTATTCTTTTCCATTCTTGACAAAAGTCATACTTATTTTAATAGCGATAAAGTAGAAAAACTTAAAATCAATTTAATTCTGTTTCAAAACTTCATTGATATTTTGCCCCAATTAATAATAAATTATAATTTCTTAAATTTTGTTGTCAATACCACAAAAGTTTAAAACGAATTGAATTCATTTTATAATGTAAATTTTCCTTACATTTTAATTCATTTTAATTTTTAATAAAAAGGATTAATGCGCATTGCAATATTTAATAAAATTTCTTCTTACCGGATTCCATTCGCAAAGTACTTTAAAAAATATAAGTTAACCGAGTAAACTTCCTAGCTTAATACGGTTAACTTCCCGTAAACTTACTGCAAAAAAAATGCTACGTGGAAAAAATGAATTCAGTTTATCAAAAATTTATAAAAATTTAAATTCACTTTTCTATTATTTACTACTTTGGTATTTTATTTAATGGTTTGTTTTCAATACAAGTAAAGCTCAGCATTGATTATTTTAAAATGGATAAAAATTAGTCAAGCGTATACTCACCTCGAAAAATAAAATAATGCGGTATTTTTGAACATCTCGTTAACATAACTTTTGTACAACTCTAGAGGGTATTAATTGATTAAAAAAGTGTTCACTTGAATACACTCATTACTCATAACTTTTGTTATTTGTGTTTAAAAAGATTCCTCTTCTTTAAAATTATAAAATCCAAAATTTTTAAACGAGTACGCAGGATGAATTTTTGTCCAAATATATATCGTTTGATTATGAATTTTTATTTACAGGCTTTTATACACAAATTTTGAAGTTTACTGCGAAGAAAAATTACTAGTACAGCTCATTTTGAGTGTTATTTGTGAACTGGATTCTGCAGAACGTTCTTGCACATATGAAATTTCCAACAGCAAAGAAAGGTCTTTATCTTTAATTGAATGCCTTGTTCTAAGATTTTATGTTTTAACCTACTTAATGCTTTTTAACCTTTTAACGCCGAGAAGGACATTTTTTAACAAAGTTTTAAGGCCATCGTTCTCTATGATTTTGCATCTCAAAAGTTTAGAAAGTACTCTTATATATGGCTTTTTTAACGCTCTTTCAGAACCTGGGCTTTAAAAGGTGTATCGGAATAAGCATGAAAAATCAGCCTTTGTCCCAAAAAAGCCAAAACTAATACCAAAAGTTGATACAAATCTGACAAGAACTTCCACGAAATTTTAATGAAAGATTTGCATTTTTGTGTAATGCAAAATAAAAAAATTATTTTTTCTTACGAGAGGATTTAAGTAAATAAATTGCTAAAATATTCGTCCCGACAATACCCGAAAAAAAAATTTTTTAATTTTTGAAAACTTTTCTTCAAAGTGTTCCTTACTTTTTTTCACAAAAGTTCCCCTAAGTGTCTACTCTAACATATGTTTTTTGCAGATTTTTTAATTTTGAGGAACACAAAAAAAATAAAAATCGTGGGTATTCAATTTACTCAAGAACTTTTGCCCACAAAAAACCCCAAAAAATGTTGAATTTTTAAAAAATAATGTTTTGTGTTATTTTACAGGTACCATTTTAAAATTTTTTCCAAAGTTTCTCCTGAGTGTCTACTTTATTTTTTGTAGATTTTAATGTGGCGGAACATATTGAGAAAAATGTAGATTGTTAGTGTTGCGTCATCCCTGCACGAGAGCGATGATGCTTAAAAAAATTTTTTTCTGTTTAAAAAAATCATTTAATTCAAAAAGCTTTTGTGCTGAGGTTGTTGAATATTTAATTGAAATTTTTAATTAATATGACAATCTTTGAAGTTTAAATTTGATTAATGTGGTGACATCTATATTGTTTGTGTAAAACTTTTGTACTTTTGTTGGTCGGCGCCCTCTAAGTTAGTCTCTTCCTTCTGTTTCTTACACATTGTTCTTATGAAAACATTAAACAAACCCTTACATAAATATAGAGACCTATTTTATTTTTACTATCCTGGCTTCGATAGGTTATGGGTGCAGGTCTCGCGGTCGTGTTTATAGTTGGTAAAAAATTGAAAAATCGCGTAGTCAAAAAAAGTGTGGTTAGCGTCCGAGTAGAAAGCGTGATTCAGTGAAGAAAGGAAATGAATTCCACGGTCTCGTCGCGAATAGAATTGTTATCAAAAGATAATTTTGACTCGTGGAAGTTGCAAATAGAAGCACTTCTTGGTACGAACGACACTTGGGAATATGTGAGCGGTGAAAAAGTAAGGCCTGTGATTCCAGCGGAAGGTGCTGCGGAAAGGGATGCGGTTGTGACGAGTGCCAATGAATGGGATGTTGCTGATCGAAAAGCACGCTCTGCCTTAATTTTGACTACCAGTCCAGCAGAGTTACAACTAATCAAAGGCTGTGTAACATCACATGAAATGTGGACAAAACTACATGGAATATTTCAGTCGAAAGGGCCAGCAAGAAGGTATATTTTTGAAGCAGCTGATGCTTCACAAAATGTCAGAGAACGGTGATGTACGTGAGCATATTCGGAGGTTTTCAGAGACTGCAGTAGACAAGTTGAAGGAAATGGAAATTCCGATTATTGATGATCTTTTATCATGCATGTTGCTTTATAGTCTTTTTGCGTCTGTAAAATATCAAGAATGTACGAAGATATGTTTCGGGAATATTCGAATTTCGAAGGGACGAGGATAATGCGTGACATTGTCGAGAAAATCAGTTCGATAAAAGCCTTGTAAAGAATAACACATTTTCTAATTTGTACGAGTTTAAATATATTATTAATGGACGGATATGTTATGTTTTCTTTTATTTTTTTTGAATTAATTAAACCTCTGAAATTCACATGAGTTGTAAAATTTATGGCGACCGTGACAGGATACTAAAGTGAATTTCCGTGAAATATTCAGATTTAAAATCGTGAAATTTGTCGTTGACGGCGTGGTCAAGATGGACGCTAAGAAAACCGACAGATCAGCCGCGCGCAGGGCTTTTACAAGATCTATGAACTCGCTTAAAGAAATTTTAGATGCACAACCGGTATCGAAACAAGAAGTTTTAGAGACTTTCCAACTGTTGGAAGAAAAAAGCCGAGAGTTAGATGATCTAAACGCAAAAATCATTGAACTTTTGATAAACGCTGAGTCATCGGAAGAGGCTTTAAACTTAGAATGTGAAACAGTGGATGAATATAAAATGAAGTTTCTCCAAATCAAAATAGAGGTCTCTACTGTTACACACCCGACGCTACAAAGTAACCAATTTTCCCAAGTGATTCCCTCCCAATCAGTCCATGTTAATTCGGAAGTCAGGCCTTCGTATATGCTACCCAAAATTGAATTGAAAAAATTTTCTGGGGACATTAAAGACTGGTTGCCATTCTGGAGCCAGTTTAAGAAGATTCACGAGGATCAATTAATGGAAAAAGAGGATAAGTTTCAATATGTTATTCAAGCGATGACCCCAAATTCGCGAGCTAGTGAGTTAGTGAATAGCTTTCCTTCAACACGTGAAAACTATGATAAGGTGATTACAAGTTTGACGAACCGGTTCGGTAGGGAGGAGTTGTTGGTAGAAGTGTATGTTCGTGAGCTTTTGGAACTTGTGTTGAGCAACGCGTTAAAACCCAACGGAAAACCCCCCCTTTCAAGAACGTACGACAAGTTGGAATCCCACCTTCGAGCTCTTAAATCTCTTGGGGTTACATCCGACAAGTGGGCAACTATATTATTTCCATTGGTTGAGTCATCGTTGCCCAAATAAATTTTACATGGCTGGCAGAGATATGGCAACAACGCAAGAGCCGACGATTCTAAGGACAGACTGGCAAAATTGATGGACTTCATACGTGAGGAGGCATCAGCTGATTGGGAAAAGTTCAAGGACGACAAGCAGAAGAGAAAAAATAAAAGTGACTTTGAAGGCGATATACCAACAGCTGCAGGACTTCTCGTAGCACCGGATAGTGCATTAAAGTGTATTTTTTGCAATGATAGTCATGAAAGTCATCTGTGTCAAATGGCTCGAGATATGTCTTTAGAAGAGCGTCAAAAGTGTGCCAAAGGGAAAAACACGCGTGCTTTAAATGTCTAAAGAAAGGCCATAGTTTTTTAAAGTGCTGGTACAAGGACAAGTGCGCATGGTGTGGTAAGAAACACGTTCTGGTCATGTGCCGCAACGTCCCCGGTAGTACGAAAACGGTCGAAATCACGAGTAAAAAATTTGACAATAGTGTACAAGAAGTCAATGTATCCGCGAGTTTGATAAATCCACAAGTGTTCTTGCAAACTTTGCGCATAAGATTGCGTAATGGTTAGAAAGAAGCTATAGTGAGAGCAGTGTTCGATTCGTGTTCCCACAGGTCATACATTCGGGAGACATCTGCAAAGATGATGGGTTATAGATCGATTGGACAACAAAAACTAGTGCATCAACTTTTTGGTGGAGTACGGACCAAACTTGTCATTCATCAAGGATACAGGATTTTCGTTGGTGATCTAAATAATAAATTTGAGTTTAATTTTGTTGTTTTGTCGAAAGACAATATCGTCGAAAATATTCCCAGTGTCAACGAGGGGCCATGGATCCAAGAATTAAAAGAAAAGAAAATTGTATTGTCTGATGTTGGTTCAACGAGTGAGCCTATTTCTGTTCTCATTGGAGCTGACGTTTTGGGAAAATTGCAGACTGGAGGGGTACTCAACCTTCAAAACGGGACAACGGCGATAGAGACGAAACTGGGATGGACGATGATCGGGAAGCAGTTATCGGACGAGGAAGACAGAGTCGATGCAGCATTGCTCGTAACTACATTGTTTATTCAATCAGCTGATGTGACCGATCTATGGAGTCTGGACGTGTTGGGAATTGCGGATCCAGTCGAAACCATTTCAAAAGAGGAACAACATGACAAGGTCAAAGAAGAATTTCGGCGTTCAGTCAATAAAAACGACGAAAAAAGATATCAAGTGAATTTACCTTGGAAAGAAAATCATCCTCCTTTACCGTGTAACCGAATGCTTGCTGAAAAAAGACTAGAGATTACTATTCAAAAAAATCTTCTGGTGGAATATGGTCAAATATTTCAAGTTCCTGACAATGAAATTAATAATTTTAGACATTACTTGCCGCACAGACCCATAGTTAAAGAAAGAAGCACGACAAAAATAAGACCCGTATTTGACGCGTCTGCGAGAGCAAGGGATAAACCATCATTAAATCAGTGCTTAGAAACGGGACCGAATCTTATCGAACTAGTGTACATACCTTGAGAGACAAGTGTTTATTCCAGGAAGTGTCCACTGAAGTGATGGCAGAAGCTAAGTTTGAGTTGAGAGGGTGGGAGTACAGTGGGGAATCCGAGAAAAGTAGGGAAACAGCTGTGCTTGGATTAGTGTGGGACAAGGCCGAAGATACGTTAAAATTGAATCATGTGACCTTCAAAGAGACTCTACCCCTCCAAATAACCAAACGCTTGATTTTGTCGATAAGTCACAAAGTGTTTGATCCGATAGGATTTTCCGCCCCTGTTTTGTTGCGTCCAAAATTGTTAATGCAAGAAATTTGTGCAAGGCAACTTGATTGGGACGAGAATGTTGACTCTGCGATGGAAAAATCTTTTAAGGAATGGTACCAAGATTTGCAGCTTCTAAAGACCTTAAAAATTCAACGAAGAATGTTGGGAAATCCAAAGGGAGAAGATTCTCTCACTTACCATGTTTTTGTTGACGCAAGTCAATCGGCTTACGCAGCAGCGATATTTGTGCGGACGGAGACCATCAACGGAGTGGAAGTGCATATGGTGGAGGCAAAAGCTAGAGTAGCTCCTACCAAAAAACCTACAATCCCCCGGATGGAATTACTGGCTGCCACGATGGGCGTTCGTCTAATGGAATTTATATCGTCTGTGTTAAAAATCGAAAAAACAAAGGTGCATTATTGGAGTGACTCGTCTACAGTGTTGATGTGGATAAAGTGCGGGAATCAGTGGGCCACCTTCGTGTATAATCGAGTTCAGGAGATACGACAAAAGAGTGATATTCAACAGTGGAGACATGTGCCCAGAGAAAAAAATCCTGCAGATCTCCCTTCCCGAGGTTGTACAGTCGAACAGCTTATCGCGTCAAAATGGTGGGAGGGTCCCTGTTGGCTCAAGTGTTCACCCGATCAGTGGCTCAATTCAGTGTATTCTACTGACGAAAATTCGATTAATAAAGAATTGAAAAAATGTGCTATAAGCAAAAAATTCGTAAGTGATTCAACCGAGGTCACGACCACACCTGTTTGTCACGAAGGAGAAGAACATGTCAACTGGTTTACGGAATACTTCTCATCTTACTCCAAGATCATTCGAATGGTGAGTTGGATGCTGAGATTTATCAACAATTCAAGAAAACAAGCTTCTTCCCGTAATTTTGGAGAATTGACGAGTCAAGAAATATCCGCTGGAGAAATCTGTCTTTTGAAGGTCGTTCAAGGAGAAATGTTCAAGGGTGAGTCGGACGAAAAAATTATAAGTTTGAATCCTTTCATAGATGCGTCCGGTATTATTCGTTCCAAATCATTGATCTCAAATCGACAGGACAAGGAAGACTTCAAATGTTCAGTGATTCTGGATCAAGGTCATCCATTGGTCATTAGGTTAATCGAGTTTCATCACGGATCATTAAGTCATGCCGGATTGCAGATCACTTTGAACAATCTTCGAGAGCGTTTTTGGATCCTAAAAGGGAGAAGAGCAGTCCGTTCGGTGATTGGAAGGTGTGTGATCTGCAAGAGATATCAAGCTTAAAGAGTAGAATCATCGCCAGCCGTGCTTCCAGTGGATAGGGTGAAGGATACCAGAGTCTTCGATGTGGTTGGAGTTGATTATGCCGGTCCAGTTTATTTGAGAGATGGAAAAAAGGCATGGATCGCTTTATTTACCTGTGCAATTTACCGTGCATTACACTTGGAACTAGTAACAACCTTGTCAACAGAAGGTTTTATTGAAGCATTGAGGAGATTCATCGCTCGACGTGGTCGACCTTGTATTCTCTATAGTGATCATGGCACGAACTTCGAGGGTACCAATAATGCACTTCCAGGAATCAACTGGGAAAAGGCTTTCAAATACACTGCTGTTCGAGGGATGCAGTGGAAATTTAACCCACCCTCTGCTCCGTGGTGGGGTGGATGGTGGGAGAGGATGGTGCGAATGGTCAAAGATTTACTGAAAAGGGTATTGAAAAAGGAGTGCCTAACTTATGAGGAAATGAACACGACACCTTGTGATTGCGAATCAGTGATCAATTCTCGTCCAATCACATACCTTTCTGATGACAGGTCAGAGCCAAGACTATTGACCCCGGCTGTGTTTCTTTAAGAAAACACCAACAACGAAGTTCAAGACTTGGATCAGATTGAGAGGACTGATTTGAAAAGAAGATTCTACTATCGACAAGAAATTCGAGACAATCTGCGGAAACGTTTTCGAACAGAATATCTTGGCCAACTTTCAAGAAGAAGCAAGTACAAAAAAAGTGATCGCGTCTTGAGAGTGGGCGAAATTGTGTTGATAGGAAGTGATAACGAAAAGCGATTAAATTGGCCTTTGGCCCGGGTCATTAGTTTTGTTAACGGAAAAGACGGTGTGGTGCGCGTCGTAAAATTGAAAACGGCTAACAATAGTGAATTGACAAGACCGGTGCAAAGAGTGTTTCCTCTAGAAATCCCCACCCCAGAGGATGCAAAATTTTTGGAAAATTTAAATTTGCCCAACGTCTTTTCAAGTGATAAAGTACAAGGGCGACGCGAAAAACATACTGAGCAAAAGAACTTTTCTGTGAATAAAGACCATAATGAAATCACCCTGCCGGAAGGGTGGTACTGGATTGGTACTGGAAAATTGGAACTGAGGGCTCAGTACCAACTCAGTACTAATTTGGTGCATTTTGGTACTGAAATGGAACTGGGAAATTTACCTGCGAAAAGGATCGAGTTACCGTTAATACCCTCAAAAAAAGTAAAAAGCGACTAGCTTTTTCAATATGTTTAAACTAATTCTTTATATTTATTTCAATATTATATTTGTTTTTCCTGGATTTATATTATTTTCATACATTATTATGCATATGATATGTCCTTTGGCAGCTAAATTCAAAAATGATGTCCATTTTTTTGTCAAACTTCAGGTATACGAGATAAATTATAACTTTTTTAAATGTAATTATTTTTTGATAAATTTTAGATATTCATAATCTGGAATTATTAACGAATCTCAATATATATTTTTTAAAGTTGAGTTATTAAAATTATAAATTTTTTAAGCAATAAAACTCGGGTTAAAATTTTAATCCTTCAACAAAGGACCTAGGGGTCTATTGTTCAAGGAGGGATTGCAATATAATTTCCAAACTTAACAGAAATTTTCTACAAACTATTATGTTTTTTTTGCTGTTTTACACATGTATCGTGAGAGATGGTTTGTTAATCTTATATACCTTTAAAACTATTGTTAAAGTACTTTAAAAATGTCTTCTTATGGGTTATCAGGTAGTGGTACTGAAGAAGAACTCAAGCCAAGTCCAATTGAGTACCATTCCAGTACCACTCTTTCGGTAGGGCATTAAATGTACGAGGAGCGGACGATAGGTAAAAGCTCCTGAAAGATTGATTTTGTAATGTCTTATTGATGAATTTTGTTTTACTAATTTGTTAATTTATTATTTACATTTCTTTTTTTCTAAATATTTATTTTTAATTATTGTTTTTTCATATTTTTTATTTTTATGATTATTACTTATTCTTGATTGTTAATTTTAGATTGATTTATATTTCTTTTTTAATGCTTATTCTTTATTATTTGTTTTATATTATTTTTATTTCCTTTTTTCCTGGTTATTATTATTTGTTATTTTACTAATTTTTATTCTTTGTTAAAAATCTAAGTATAAAATAATAAATATTCTTTCAAGAAAAAATATACTAAATACTACCACGTAGATTCAAACGATATATTAATCGATGTAAATTTTCTACTCACCTTCATTGCTAAGTATACTTCATCAGGGGCATTTTGCAAAAATAAATTGATCTCATCTGTGGAGAAAACTTTTGATTTTTTCCCTTTATATCCGCGGAAATTTTGACTCCATAAAGCACTTAATTCTTTGTAACTGTCGATTGATATTTTCTCGTGGATTTGTATGGTACTTTTCAATTTTGAATAAATTGACCATATTGTTGTGGGCTTATATTTTTCAATTAGTTCCTTAAAATAAACTTTTAAGCAATTTTCCGAGGTAATAGCATTAGATTCCTTTTTCCACACAACAAACTTTCGATACGTTTCCTCGTAAACATCTTTCGATTGCTTCGGCAATAAGTCAGTTGAAATTTCACCGGCCTTCTTCCTCATTTCCGGCGGCGTACATTGCTCATCATCGTCACTTGACATTTTCTTAATTTTGATTTTACACAGTAAAAATTAATTAAACTGAAGACTGAAAAACAAGTCAGACCGGATGCTGCAAGTTTTCAGGTTAGGAAGTCTACAACCGTTAAGCTTCTTACGCTATAACGTATGTTATGGTAAGAGTATGTTAAGAGCAAGCGACAATACGACTCTGACCAAAAACATTGACTAACTTCTATTGGTCAAAATTACACTTCTCAAGCGTTACGAAAATACGATACACGAACAAATAAAGCATTTTTTTGAACGGAAACGTCAAACTGTGACACTAGAGTTCGCATTTGTAACTCTGAGACTACCGTACAGAAAAGCGACACTTTACGGTTATTTACGGAGAAACTTAATGAATTTAATGAATTATTGAAAATTTTTTCGCCATATTGGATTTTCCATTTTGAATGTTTTAAAACCAATTACAAATGCGTATTCAGCGACCCTCAAAAACCCTCGAGTAAGAAGTTTCAAACAAAATGATTGACTTTTGAAAAAATTGTACATTACGTTACAGTAATTTTTTTAAAATTTCTTCTATTGCTGTTTTGAGTCTTCCATGTTGAAATTTGTAAAATTGCGGTTGGTCCTTGCAAAAATTGAATATTGCTGGTACGATATTTATAGGTTTTACGCCTATAGGTACATGTACTTGTTACCTAATAAAAGAAAAATAATTTTACCAAAAAAGTCTCAAAATTTTAAACTTTTTGGGAATCACATTTTATGTAAATTTAAAGCCTAGATTCTGAAGTCGCGATAAAAGCCACAGGAAGATTACTTTCAAAATTTTTGACATGCAAAATCATAAAGGATAATTGCCTTAAAAACTTTGTAAAAAAGAGTCCTTTCCGGCGTTAAAGAGTTAAAGCTAAACAATGAAATAGGTATTAGATCTAAGGATTGATATAGTAACTTTTTGTGCATTTATATCAAAACTAACAAAATAAAAACATATTGAAATTTAAAATTTTAAGATCGTATTACACACTTAGAAGACTATACTTAATTGTAAATTACAATTAAACTAATTAAAAAAAATTTAATTGACTTTGTATTTGTGAAACATTTAACAAGTGGAAACCTTATTTGTGCAGGAATCACAGAAAAGTCTGTCAGGAATGTAAAACTCTCTGTAGATGCAATAAAAAAGGCGACTCGATTGATGTGATTTCTACATCGTCCGATATGGCAGACTCAGGATTAGAAACGGGATCGGTGAGTCCTCAGGAAACAGATATAAATTCTGATAATTCTGGAACGGAATTCGAAGAGTCTCAAGGGGTAGAATTTACATTGATGGATAAAGTCACTTCAAACGAATTAAGTGATCCAACTTTCGGAACTATTCACTTTGCGAAATGCCAGTATAAATCAAGACTCAATCACGACAATATAAAGTTACAAAACCCAAATTATGATGCAACATGTTCGTCATCGACTGCTGAACAGCAACAACGTGAATTTGAAGAAAATGCACAAAAATTAGATCATGTTGAAGAAATCTTCCAGTACGAAAATCAAGTATTAAATTATACCTTTTATGAATCAGATGGCAGTGACGATAATAATCAAGGTAATTCTCCAATGCCCTCAGATTCTTTTGAATTTGTGGAACCTGAAGATCTTCCTTCCATTGATTACAATAGTGAAGAGAAGCCAGAGAATTACAAAGAGTTTGAATCCGAAGAAAGTGAACATCTCAAAAGCAGTGAAAAGGAAAAGAAATCCGTCGAAAGTTTTCAGAGTGAACTCTCTCGTACGAGTGAATCTATTAAAAGCAGTACTACCTCAGTAAACAGCTATTTCTTTATAGACGCTTCGAGTTTAAACGATGATGTCTTTCCTGTGGCTATGAACTCTACAAAGGAACGCGGCGACAGCTTGCCGCCCTATTTTTGTCCTTCCGATGGCTACGTTCCTTCTAGAACTGATGTAAAACATCACCGATTGACAAACTTCAAGTCAAGTACGTCTCAAAGTGAGCAGCGAGAGACTGCAGTGTTTGAGCAGGAGTTGAAACTCAATGAATTTCTCAAACCTCTATCGGAACCGAAAAAAAAAAAACGAGTGGATTCTGCCTTAGAGGATAAATTAAGCGAGAAGGGGACAGTCAAGGAGGCTCTTGTGGTCGAAATTAAGGAAGCAGACAGCGGCGAAAGCACTCAACCTTCTCCTTGTCCCGATAACGCTAAAATTGTACTTGAAATTGATAACCAACAGACAGGTTGTTCATTTGAAGAACATGGATGCGAAGAATGTGAAAATCAGAACGGGAAATCCATCGAAATGGATAATCAAGAAGCAGACAAATCGGAAGAGAGTAATCAAGTCAATGATGATAGACGACCTTCTCTTATCAGGAGAAACACCTTCGAACTGGATTCAAATGATGAGAAGCTCTCGGCCTTAAGACAGGAATACGAGAGACGTCAAGGAAGTTTAGTTTTTCAAAACTCCATTCCCCAGTATTCTGGTCACAGAGTGGACAACGATTCTTGTTACGGCTCTCCTCTGCACTCGAGTTTAGGCCCGACAAACGAAGCCCAAAATTTTTCTGATCAACAAATTGCATTCTTATCGTTAAATAAACTGGATCATGATCATGTAGAGAAAGAGACAAAGTGCAATTACTTTTCAAATCACAGATACGATCAAACTGATACCATCCCAATGCAGAGGAGCGCGAGTGACAAGAATGTCACAAACTCTCAGGAAGATCTCTCTGAGAATTGCAATAGTTTGCCAGTGACACTAAACAGCATCTTGACACGCGACGATTATTTAGCGAGGCGATCTGTCCGAGATGAGTCAATTCCTATAATTTCCGGTGGTGCCAGAACTTTGGATTCCAGGCGAACGACGGACAGTCCGACAGTTCGTCGAAAAACAGAATCAACTCCCATCGTCTCTGGAGGATCAGTTTTGATACCGGAATTGGAGACGAAAATTAAATCAAGAATGTCTTCCTCGATGACTGCATGGGTCGTAGACATGAGTACGGTTCAGAAAATGACCAAGAGTAGAGAAATGTCGCAAAGTTTTTCCACTTCCGATTGTATTGAAAAACCTATCACACAGAAAAAGACGCATGAAAAGCAAGGGAGTTTTGGTTTCTTCGTTGATCTCAACGATATGAATGCCCCGAAGGAGAAGGAACCGGAAGCTGTTCAACCAAAAAAACGTGACCAAAACGGATCCGAAAAGCAATACTGTGAATTTTTTATAGACATGTCCGATAGCGACGTTTCACTAAATTCCAAAAAATCCTCGCCGAGAGGCTCGACTACCAAGAAAGATTTGATTGATTTGAATGATAAGAAAAATATTTTCTCGATGTTTATCGATTTTAAGGAACCAGAGAAAACTGGAAAAAAAGGTTGTGGTTCGGAACTCTGGCACAAAAGATCCAAAGAGTATTTGCCTGGATTGAGTAATAAGAGATCCACTGAGAGAGAAAGGTTTGAGAGGAGTAGCACTAAGGAAGCTTGTATAAAACCTGAAGAGGACGAAGTCACACGACAGAGTAATATACCAACATCAGTAGAAGACAATGGTTATGAACAAACACCAGTGAAGGAGAAGAGCAAAGGAGTATTTATGTTCATTCAGTCAGATTCGCCGGTTGTGCGGAGGAAAACACTTTCCAGCTCTCGCGCTCCTTTTAAACGTAATTCTTGGAATACTGACAAAAGTACTGACGAAAACGAAATCGGAAATAGGTTTGGTAGTGTTTCTGGAAATGGACCATTAAAGTCAACGTTTTTCCGTAAAGAACATAAAAGAGCCCAAAGTCTATCGATAGATCGAAGAGAATTTCGTCAGTTTCAAGGCAGAGCGAGCAAATCCAGTCATTCACTAAGCGAAGCTGCCCAAGTGAATTCCGTGAATGGAATAATTTCAACGATGGAAGAGGAAAACAGTCAAAATCTTGATACATCAACTACTCTCGATGTCTTCGAGTACGATACACAAGACACGCCACCCAACTCGCATATTGAAATCACCAACGAAAAAATTCGAATGAAACACAGTGCACTCGAAGAAACAAAGTCCGCAGATGTTGGTCAAGTCAAAAAAAATTATGAAAAACAGATTACTGAATCTCGAAAAATTTGGGATAATACAGCAACCAAAAGTACTGAAGCTCAAACAAAAAAGAGTGAAACTTTCGATATTAGTAGCGAAAGTGGACCATCTCCAGGAAATGAGAATCAAGATTTTCAATTATCTGAGCTTCTAAATGGAGATGTGCCTAAGTTTATTGATAGAACGCCAATAATTGCTTCAACTGGAGCGAAAATAACTAAGACTCATAAGTCGTTAAATGAAAAAATCAAAAGAATTGAGAGTGAATTGAAAGGACCTGAGTTTGAATTGAAACAGAAGGAAGAGTCGAAAGGAATGAATGTCGATTTTGTAAGACTTTCGGATTTAGACAGCACATCTACGAAATGTTCCACATCTAATGTGACTGTTATTAAAGAAACTGAATCTTTCACGCATCGCATGAGTAACAGTATTCCGGAAACGTCGTGGATTGAGAGTAAATTAGTAATTACAAGGACTAATGGAGTAATGAAGACGCGACCGAGACAATTTCCCAGTCATATGAGTACATCTCTTCCATCGAAACAAAAATCGCCTTTAGAGGATTTGACTAGTGAAAGAGATGCCGAGGGGATTATTTCCGAATCAGATCTAAGCAGTATGCAAAGTAGCATGGGACGATCCGGAGCTGGTAAATAAAAATTATTATTATTTACTATTTTCTTCTAAGCCTAGTTTCTATTGCTTCCTCAATAAGAAAGTATTCCATTTTCCTGTGAACCATTATGGTCATACGTGCCAGAAGCATACATAATTTATCCTGATCCAAACATTGAGAGAAACATTTGGTTAGAAGGCATATTTAAATTGAGCTGCCGGATCAAAGAAGGGCACATGAATTTTTTCCGCTTGAAAACGAAGTCCCCTGGCCACTAAAAATTCAACTTTAAAATTTTACGAATTTTTTAATAAAACAAAAACGTGTTATTATATTCTACGAATGACTAAAAAAGAAAGAAGTTGTTTTGATTAAAAATAAAAAAGTTATTAATTTTTTGTTGAGACATTGCAAAATTTGCGTGTTTTCTGAAAAGTTACAATGCAATTGAACAATTAATAACAAAATGGTGAATGTTTAAACTTAAAAGTTGCGTGAGCGGCTGAACGTTTGACGTGCATTTGCTCCGTAATAATTCAATCGAGCTTATCATGGTAGCAAACACACGCCAAACGTTCAGCCGCTCGCGCAACTTTAAAGTTTAAACATTCACCATTTTATTATTAATTGTTCAATTGCATTGTAACTTTCCAGAAAACTTCTTTGGACCATAATAAACAACTTTCTCACTAAAAGTTTTCTTCTGCTGAAAAATTTGTTGAACTTCCTCGCATGGAGAAAATTGCAGTTCACGAATTTTACAATGTCTCATTAAAAAATTAATAACTTTTTTATTTTTAATCAAAACAACTTCTTTCTTCTTTAGTCATTTGTAGAATATAATAACACGTATTTTCGTTTTTGTTTCATTTAAAAATTCGTAAAATTGTCTGAGCTGTCGCGAGTTGAAGTAAAAAAAAAAACAATTAAAATTTTCTTTTTTTAAAAAACAGTTTTTCCCTTATCTTTCAAAAGCGGAAAAATGTGGAAAATTTCTTATTAAAAAAAATGCGCAATAAAATTCTCTATAAGAAGGTGCTTAAAAAACATTAAAATTTTAGAGTTGAATTTTTAGTGGCCAGAGGACTCCGTTTTCCATCGGAAAAAATTTATGTGCCTTTCTTTGATCCGGCAGCTCAATTATAATTTATTAAATTTGAAATTTAAATATTTAATTTAAACATTGTAAAAAGGCACGTTTTTCGTTAAATAAATAATTTTTTTTCAATAAAGTAACATTTTAGACCCAAGAAATGAAAACTAATTCAGTTGAATTGAAATGAATAGGTACACACTGGGCTTCAGTGAATCCCACTTAGCGACAAATTCGAATTGGAACTATGTTGCAATTTTCCTGAATTCGACAAAGCTGTATTCAACTTCCAAACTCTCTATTCGTACTAATTCAATGAACAAACTTTTTAGCTTTAATTTTTTTCAATTCGTCAACACAAATTTAATAAACGAGTTAATCATTTTATTTGAATTCTCAACAAATGAAATCTCATTGATACGAATTGAACTGAATATACAAATGGCTTCATTGAATTTTGCTTAGATACAAATACAAATTGGACCCTGCAAAAAAAGTTGATTCATTTCAATTCATCTGAATTAGTTTTTTTACTGGGGATGGCCAAAAAACCAAAAATCGTAATAAAATATCATAACGGTTTATTTGTATAAAATATTTGTAATTTTGAAATTTTGGATTAGTAACTTTTTCTCAGGGACTGTCTCGGACACGAAATGTTGTTGAATTTTAAGAAAGTGTGTCCTGTCACGATTTGGCACGTTTGAAAACAATTAATCGTATCGTGGTGCGACCCGACACATTTACAAATTCATAATCGTATCGTGGCGATGCACAATACGTTTAGAAATTTCTAATCGTATCGTGGCGCGATTGTACACGTTTACGAATTTCCAAAAGTATCGTGGCGCGACCCGACACATTTACAAATTCATAATCGTATCGTAGCGAAGAACGATACGTTTAGAAATGGAGAAATGTATCGTACTTTGACTTGATACGACACGGTAATTCTGCATAAACGTATCGTGTCGCATAAAAAATATATTTAAATTAATTGGACGTTATCTATTATAATATAACATATATGTAATAATAATATGTATATAAAATAATATAATAATATATAATATACAGTATATATATATATATATATATGGCTCAAAATTTCTGAAGTGAGCCACTAATTTTTCGATGGCGAGATTTTTATAAGTCAGATCAATAATTTTATAGTATTTTCGAATCAAAATAAGATCCTAAAGTTATATTGCAAAATTTTAATTTTTTTAAGAGTTATTGTTTAAACAATTTTTAAGCAGCCAATTAGTAAAAAAAGCTTTTCTACGGTTCCATTTGATGGATTTTGCTGAAATTTGGTATGAATAATGTACAATAACCATGCTTTCAAATAAAAAAAATTTGTTTCATTTTGTTCATAATTTGTTGAAAATAGCAACAATTATTATAAACAAATGAAAATTTAATAACCTTCTGCGCCTAATTTCGTATTTTTTCTTGTAAATTATGATTCCCTATTTTATCACGAGTATTTAAAAAAAAAAAAAGTCAGTATATTGCATTAGGTCAAAAGTTATGGTACTTTTTCTCTTGACGCTCAGTGCCCTATTGACGCGCCAATATCATAGTTACTGACTCGCTATCCTCAAGACCGCGTACTGCGTCCAAATTTAACATGTTACATTAACAAATTTCCGTTAATAAATATACTTTATGATGCAATATTTTTTGTTTATTGCAAAAAATAATTTTTATTAAATAAATTCAACATACATATATAAACAATAAAAAATTTAAACATCTTCATTGCATGCGACAAAATTGTTTTGCATTATTTGAAAATCTAAGATTTTAATAAATGTTTAATATTTCTAAAGTTACATTGCAGATTGAAGAAAATATTATCTGAGAAGAGAAATTTTGAAATAAACGTAATTGTTTTATTTCAATGTTGTGTTTACAATATTTTAAAAAAATAGGGCCTACCAAAAAAATATTTAAAATTAAAACAATGATTTAACAATGTTATTATTTTCAGAATTATATTATTTGGTATTCGCCAGTTTCTACTTTAAGCAAGCTTAACCGTGACTGCTTCCTTTTGACCAGAAAAAATTTTACACAATAATGTGTTGTTTTTTCCTGGCTGATAGCAATGAAATGATCGTGTTTGGTTAATTGTTTTAGCAGTTGAAAATCGTAACTCTAAACTTTTTCTATGATTTTCAAGCTCTTCATTCGAACACAGGCAAAAATGAATTTTTTTAAAAAATCCTCTTGCCCACTCGTACAATTGTTTTGGAGTTGTCAAAAGAAGATTAGTGTCTTTTTGCAGGGATGTGAAATATGCATGCCTTTTGACCGTGCCTCCTACTCCGTCGCAAGCGCCTTTGCCGTGGGCGGTTGCAAAAAAGTGCCACTCTGCATCAATTCCGAAATCATTTTTATGATTAGCCAAATTTAACAAATTATATTTGTTTTTATATTGAGACGTAGCTCCATCGGAAAAGTAATAAATTTTTTTTAATTTTTTGGCACCAAATTTTTTTTTTAAATGCTCAATTAATTTCTTGTTGAACAAGTGAACAGCTGTCGAATCGTGTTGCAAATTCTCCGAAAAAATTACAAAGTTTTCGTTTTGTAAATTGCCCTCTTTTTTATAATATGCAACGTGAACATGTAGCGTGACTTGGTCTTTACGCCAATGTTGGGCTTGAATTTCATTTTGTATTTTAAAAGAATAATTTTCTGAAAAATCCTCTGTGACTATGAACTCTCCTTCGCCTATTTTCTCTTTCAATTTTGATAAATGCTCTGCCTGAGATTTAGCTATGAAATCGTGCTTTAAAAGTGCCAATAAATCTGTTGCAAAATTTTCTAAAAAGACCTTCATAGATTCAGTGACGATCGAAAATTGACATCTACAAAAATATGTTTCATATGAATTAATTGTAAATTATTAAGAATGAAAATGTAAAGCATAAAATTATTACCTGTCAGTCGTGAGCCACTGATGAAATGAAATCTCCTTTATGCCCTGATTTATAAAAATTGATTTTATTTCTTGCAAAATTATTTTTGTGCCAGGGCATTTTTTGCATTTTAAAAGAAAACATTCAGAACAAGAATTTTCACAAACAATTTTTTTTAACATATCACAGTAAGAATAAGGATAATCTATTTGTTTCTTAAATAACTCCTGTTTTAGGGCTTGTATTTTTAATCTGATATTTTGGTGCGTTTTGCAAACGCAAACATTGTGGTTGCCTTTTGCTCCAACTAATACGCATTGAGGTGGTCTTAAACTTTGAAATTTCGAGAGAGAAATTTGCACTTCGGAAAATTCCTTCAAAAATCGGGAGTGTAACTCGTTAAGGTTGCCCATCAACAATCGTTTCTATAATAATTTTAAAAATGGATGAAAATCTGGATTAAATTAAAAGAAATTAAAAGATGGATAACTTGAGACCAAACTAAGAAATTTAAATTAATGAAACTATACTCTGTTTTTCCATGATAGGCACTTTCAATTATTATAAACTCAATATTACTCATTTATATTACAGGAAAAATGTTATCAATTATAAAATCTCATCTAAATAAATTTTAAGTTATAAAACTTTAAAGTTTAAAGCCAACAAAAATTGGAATATTTTGCATTTTTTCAGAATACAGTAAACAATTATCCTAATAAAAAATTTAAATTTAAAATTATCTAATGAAAAATTAAATATTAAAAAACTTACTGTTAAATGCTGTCGTTTTCCATCAATTACCACTGATTTGAAATCTTTTCTCCCAGGTAACACACGACTCACTTCGTCAGATAGGTAAAATTGATTTACTTTTTTCTTTATAGATAAGTCCATGGGGTGACCAGGTTTTGGATCAACGTGAGATGCATATCCCTTCTTTAAGCGCAATTGTTTTGCTCTAGCTGCTAAACGACGTGAAACGCTGAACAATTTTGCAGTTTTTCGAA